TTTCTCGACGACGACCATCGAGGAGCCTTTTGGAACACCTTGCGAAACAAAAGGAATGGACGTCCGAGCGACGGCAAGCTGGCGGGATGCGGCATCGATTGTCGTCCCTTGTGCGCTACCGCCAGTCCGCTGTAAAGAAAAAAAGGGCCCCGAGCTCTGGACCGCTGCCTGGGGACATTTTTGTTCGCCCCGCACAGTTTGGTTGGCGGTCCCGGAGCCTACCCAGGACTCCCCGACGCCGAACACGAGGAACAGCATGTCGCCCTGATGTTTTTCAATGCGGCGGAGGTTTGGCGGGGACCTGGGCACCGGAGGTCCCTGCAGCCAGCAGTTGTGCTGCTGCCGAGCCTGAACGCGTCTGGCTCCGAGTGCTGCTGCTCCTGCTGGCGCGCCCTCGCGCGGCACGCCTGGCCCGAGCTGCCGTGTCTGCGGTCCTCAGCACCATCCGCTGATCCGATGTTGGTCCGCCCGCCTCCCCAGGAAGGTGCCGACCCCTCCCCGGGGGGGGTAAGCTTTTGCGTCCCCCACCCGTTTCTTGTGGCCCCGGAGGGCCCGAAGAGACTGCGGCATTGCGAGCACAGACCACGACCGGAGCCCCAGACCCGATCTCCCTGCTGCACTGCTCGAGCCAGATCGATACGTGGTGGCCCTGGGGGGAGCTGGGCGAAGCCGCCTGCAGTGCGACAAAGGACAAACAGTCCCCGGGTCTCAGGGGTCAGACAGGTCGCATCGTCGGGGGTTGTGGGCACGCGGAGCTCCTCTGCAGCCATGGCCGCCCGCTGCAGAAAGGCCCGCGTCCTGGCCTGGGATCGGGTCATTACTTTATGGAGGTGCGGGTGACCAGGAGGCAGGGAGGGAGGGAAGGATGAGGATAAGGAGGAGGAGAGAGGACGAGGAGGAGGAGAAGGAGGAGGAGGAGGAGGAGGGGAGTGGATGATGATGATGATGATGATGCTGATGATGATGATGATGATGATGCTGCTGCTGATGATGATGGTTCTTGATGATGATGATGATCTTGATCATGATTATGACCACGACGATAATGATGATGATGATGATAATGATGATGAGGATGATGGTGATGCTGATGATGACGATGACGATGATGATGATTATGATGATGATTATGATTATGATTATGATGATGATGGTGATGAGGATGATGATGACGATGAGGATGCTGATGACGATGATGATGCTGATGATGATGACGATCACGCTGATGATGAGTATGATGATGAAGATGCTGATGCTGATGCTGATGATGATGATGATGATGATGATGATGATGATGATGATGATGATGATGATGATGATGATGATGATGACGAGAAGGAGGAAGAGGAGGAGGAGGAGGAGGAAGAGGAGGAGGAGGAGGAGGAAGAGGAGGGGGAGGAGGAGGCGCGGGCTTGGCTTCGACGGGAGGGATCAGCTCGCAGCTGCGAGCGTCGGAAGGAGGAGGGGGAGGAGGAGGGGGAGGAGGAGCACGTAGAGAAGGAGGAGAAGGAAAGTGGAGGAGAGAGGGAGGAAGTTAGGAGGAGGAGGAAGTTGGGGAAGGGGAGGAAGTTGGGGAGGAGGAGGAGGAGGAGGAGGAGGAGGAGGAGGAGGAGGAGGAAAAGGAGGAGGTTTGTGGCACTCCTGACCCAAGCTGCCCGCCGTTACCCTCAGCCCTGCCACGCGGAGCTCCCCCCCCTGCAGCCATGGCCGCCCGCCGCAGCAGCTCCCGCGCCCTGGCCCCCTGCAGGGGTAACCTTCGGGGGGGAATCGGCTCAGGTCGGGTTCCGAGGCGGCGAGCGAGGATGGCGCCGCAGCGCCGATGCACCGGCGCTCCCGAGCCCGAGGTTCTCCACGCTGACGTCGCCGATGCATCGCCGACGCGTCGCCGATGCATCGCCGATGCATCGCCGATGCGTCGGTGATGCAGCCGACGATGCGGCGCGGTCCCCCGACCCTATCTTCGGCGGCGGGCGATGGGGGGGAAATGAGAAGGAGGCGGCCTCCTCGGAAGGTGGCGGGACTTCTTGGAAGCCCTCGCGCCTCCTGAGAAGCGTTGCTCTGTCTTCGGGGGCAGGCTTGCAGGAAGCCTCTCGGAAGGCGGGGGCACCTCCGAGCCCTCCGAAGAGGCCTTCTCCTCCTCACGTCCCACCCCCCCTCGATCGCCGCCGATTCCAGGTTGTCGCTTGCTGTCGTTGGTCATCGGCGGTGGTCCAGCCTCGTGGTTCTCGGGTTAAGTCGGGCCTGTCCCCCTACAGGGGGATTTTCGACGAAACATAAAAGTACCCCAAGCATGCCCCAAAAAGGTCCAAGAGTATTCATCAAAACTAGTCCCCAGATGATGTTTGGATGATTTCTGGGGTATTTTTAGGGGTATTTCTCATTTTTCGCCGAACATCCCCCTGTATCAGAGCCCCGAATTATCAGGGGTAACTCGGGTCAGGGCTAACTCGGGTTAGTTTTTCGGGAGTCCGAACCCGAGTTGCCCCGGACCCGACTTACCCCGGATAATTCGGGCGTCCAGAGCCCCGAATCGTCAGGGGTAATTCGGGTCAGGGCTAACTCGGGCTCCTTTCTCGGGAACTCAAACCCGCGTTACCCCGGACCCGAGTTATCCCGGATAACTCGGGCGCCCAACTGCAGGGGGACGGGCCCGACTTCCTTCTCGTGCCAGGGCTCTGCGCGTCGGGCCCCGCCGGCGGCCGCTCTCGGGGCGGGTCGGTGGGCCAAAGGCCCCCCGGAGAGCGGCGCGGCCGGGCGAGGCGCCGCCGCCGCGGAGAGTGCGGCCCGCGGCCGAGGGCCGCCGCCGAGGGCGTCCGAAGAGGCGAAGAACAGCCGTACCTCCTCCTCCTCCTCCTTCTGCTCCTCCTCCTCCTCCCTCCTCGTCCTCCTCCTCCTCCTCCTCCTCCTCCTCCCCCTCCTCCTCCTCCTCCTCCTCCTCCGACCTCGAGAGTTGCTGAGCCCCCTCTCGGAGGAGGAAAGGGCACCCTTAGGTCGGGCCTGTCCCCCTACAGGGGGATTCTCGACGGCAAAGAAGAAAGGTACCCCCCGAATGATCCAAAAACAGGCACAAAAATAGTCCGGGGACTATTTTTTGAGTATTTTGTTCGTTTTGGAGTGTTTTGGGGGTATTTTTTGTTTTTCGTCGAGAATCCCCCTGTAGGGGGACAGGCCCGACCTAAGGGTACCCATACCTCTGCCCCCTCGCCCGTTTTCCCCTCTTGGGGCCTGGGAGGCCCTCGTCGCCGCCGCTGGATTCGCCTCAAGATTTTGGCCAGAGCGCACCACGGGAGAGGCCCAGGGAGTAGCGGTATTGGTACTGTTTAGTTTACCCACCCTCGGCGTTTCCCCCCCCCGCCCGCAGTCAAAGTTCATAGTCAGGATACGCTGCCGCATCAAGGCTGCCCTTGCACTCCTGCTTCTTCGGCCAACCCCGAGCCAGTGTTGACGTTCAGGGAGCTCTAGAATGCAAGAGGGGGGACTTCCAAGGGTCCTGCATCCGTACCTTGCATCCTTGTTGCGGATCTTGAGTGTAGCGTTCAGACCTCAGGCTGGCCTAAGGCTTTGCTGCTGTTCTTGGGGCTTTGCTGTGCTCTTGCTCGCTCGCGAGCAGTTGCCGCGCGTGCGGCGCTGCACCGCCACTGCCGCGCCGTCCTGTGGTCTTGCCGCGCCCCTGCTCCGAACGCACACCGCTCGAGGCGGCCGAGCGCCGGGGAGCTCCACCCGACAGAATGCAGACCAAAAAAAAACGCGCCCCCTGCGGCTGGCCCCCCGCCAACGGTCAAGACGCTGAAGGAAGGGCCGCCTCGGGCTCGGCAGGGGCTTCGATCTCCAGGCCGCTCCTCCGATCGAGGTCAGGGGAAGGCCCGTCCGTGGCCGGGGCCCGCCGCGGCGAGAAGAGCCCCTCTGCGTGCCTCCTTCGGCGTTCCCCATGGCGGCACGATGGCTGGAAGGGTTGGTCGGATTTCGTCCGCGTTCGTCGCATGTGGACGAAGTCTGGACGAGCTCTGGGCGACAGGGTGACGAGGGGCGCTCGAACTCTGAAGGAAGTCCGGTCGACATCGCGTTGACGATGTGGCCGCGGAGGCCCACAGAGGCCCCCATGCAGGCTCACCTAACCCAGACATCCGACGTCTCGTTTTTTTTGAGACACGGGCCCCCGACCTCTCGACCCGTTCCTTGGGACCAGTTTCTCATCCTGAGTCGTTTTTCACAGTCTTGAGACCTGGGGAGGGCCCCCAGGGGAAGAAAAAATAGCGAAAGACCCTCCGCCGTGTTTTTTATCGAGGCCCGGTGGAGGGGCCCCAGAGGCCCAGGATAGCGACAAACCCTCCGTCTTGATTTCTTCGCGACTCGATGGGGCCTGGGAGCGCTGATGCCTGGGCCCAATCCCTGGGTTCCGCCCGAAATGTTTGACCGCTCAGAGGAGGGTGAAGCCAGGGGATACACCCCAACGGGGCTATTCTGGCGCACCCCCGACGAGGATGGACGCCCCCCCCTCGTATAGTCATCCCAGGGTTGGGACCCCAATTGTCTGATCCGTTTGGAAAACCTCACGTAGCCTGGGATAGGGGTCGGCACATCCCCTGTTACAGTCAACCCGCATAGTAAGGATGGGCAACCTTCCCAAGGGTACCCTCGCATCCTTGCCCCTTCGGCCCATCCCTGACCGCGCCCCGCTCGCAAAGTGTCGACATGGCCTTCCAAGGCCCCTGCATCCTCACCCCGCATCCTTCCGATACGCGTTGACTGTTAGTTGACGCCTCAGGCCTGCCTCGCGCTCGCCGCCGCCGCCGCGTGGGCGGGCTCCGCCGCCTTTGTGCCCGCGGCGGCCCGGAGCGCCGCCGCCGGCGCCGCCGTGGTCGCCGCGCTGCTGGGCCAGCAGGTGCAGCCGGCCCTCGCCAAGGACCGTCGGAGAGGGGGAGGCCAGACCTCCTGACGCCTGCCTGGCAGGCATTTTGTGCCAGGTCTCCTGGGACACGTAAGACAACGCTTGCACGGCTGCGCCAAAAGACCCTGCTCCTGGATCCCCGACCTCTGATGCCTTGGACAAGGGAACGCACACCGCCAGAGGCGGCGGAGAGCTTGAGAGAGACCACCTACCCAAACAAAAACGTGTGAGGGGCGTGTGCCGACATGCTTGCGGCGGTGGCATGCGGGCGGACCTCGGTGAAGCTTCCTACGGGTCCAAGAAACGTGTGATAGGGGCCTGCCGAGGTGGGCGCGGCGGTGGCGTGCGGGCCCTTCCACTGGGGCTTTCGGCGGGCGCTCTGCGTGGCCACGAAACGTGTGGGGGGTGCACGGACACAGGTGCGGGGGAGGCCGATGTTGATGGTGATGCTGGTGCTGATGCTTGTGCGGCTGACCGTGGTGATGATGATGCTGCTGTTGTAGTTGGTGGTGATGCTGATGATGACTATGACGAGGATGTTGGCGATTGTGATGTTGATGATGATGCTGATGATGGTTGTAAGGCTAGTGAAAGTGACGACGACGATGCTGATGGTGATGATGGTCATGATGATGCTGCTAATGATGATGGTGATTGTGATGGTGATGTTGATGGTGATGATGCTGATGATGATTATGACAGTTACGACGACGATGGTGATGGTGCTGATGCTGATGATGATGGTGGTGGTGATGATGATGCCGGCGATGATACGGGTGGTGAACATGATGATCGTGATGATGATGATGATGATGATGATGATGATGATGATGATGATGATGATGATGATGATGATGATGATGATGGTGATGGTGATGATGATGATGATGATGATGATGATGATGATGATGGTGATGCTGAGTATGATGTTGCTGCCGGTGATGATGATTATGATGATGATGACTAGTTTTATGATGATGATGCTGATGATGATGGTGATAATGAGGAGGAGGACGAGGATGATGATGATCGTGATGATAGTGATGATCACGATGATCATGACGATGACGATGAGGAGAGTGGAGGGGGGAGGGGGAAGAGGAAGAATGGAGTGTCGCGGGGCGCTGCGGATTCAGAACGAGTGCCCACCACTACAGGATGGTTGGGAAACACCAGATCCCCTCGCGTCATGAAGACATCACGACAGATGTGTTTTCTTGTTTGCTATTTTCGGCGTTTTGGGGCCCTCGCCAGGCCCCAGGACCGTAACAAAGCAGCTCAGGATGAGAAGCCGGTCCTGGGGAATGAGTCGTGACTTCCGGGGATCAACGTCGAGAAAAGTCAAGACTTTCGGGGGTCTGGGGGCGCATTGACAGGGATCAGCGCTGCCCAGCGTTCATGCCGAGCCGATCCGACTCTGTACCCGGCAGTCCGATGCGGCTCGTTGCTCGCGTGGCGCTGCTTTGCATCCTGGCGCGACCGATTCGCGCCGATGCGGCACAGTCCGATGCCTATTCCGATCTGCTCGTATCTAGTGATTCGGTGTTGACCGTGCCTGACTCTGACACGGGGGGATCGAGGTCGAGGATTAGGAGGAGGAGGAGGAGGAGGAGGAGGAGGAGGAGGAGGAGGAGGATGGGAGAAGGACTATTCTCCCCCACCCAGCACAGGATGGGAGGAGGGCTATCGAAGGCATCGGGGCTCGCAGCACCCGGCAATGTTCGCAGCTCGAGGCTCGAAGGAGGAGGAGGAGGAGGGGGAGGCGACCGAGGATCGCAGGGGAGGGGGAGCCGAGAAGTCCACGGATCCCCTCCGAGCCATCCCCTCTGGCCGGCCTGGGCCTGGGAGCTCTGCGGAGCGCGCCCTTGCAGGGCGTGCTGCAGCGGCCGCGGCGCCCGTTGCGGCCTCCCGCTGTGTCCCGTTCCGCTTTTGTCTTGGTCTTGGTTTCGTCTTAGAGTTTTGGAGCGGGGCGCATCGTGGATCAAGGAAGGAGAGCCCGAGGATCAAGGAGGAGGAGGAGGAGGTGGTCCATGTTCGGAGAGGAGCGGGGTCGAACGGTCGGAGAGAATTGCGAAGGAGGGCGAGGCGGACGAGGAGAAAGGGGGGGTCGAGGGTCGAGGTGAAAGAGGTGGGCTTGGAGATCGAGGAGGCGGGGGACGGACCCTCAGATCTGAGCGTTGATTTCTTTTCACACCAGACGTCTTCGGCCGACTTTGGGCCCCGAGACCATCACAGGTTCACCCGGCTCGAGAAGTGCCGCAGAAAGATTGGTTCTGGGGCTACGGTCGTGACTGGACTTTTGGCGATGCCGCAGCTGTTTGGCAACATCGGTTCTTAGGGGATCTGACGGGGTTAGGACGAGGATCAATCCATTCCAGAGCGTTCTGGAACGCTCTCAAAGCGTTGCGGAACGCTCTAAGAAGGCCATGGCGCGACATCCTCCAGAGCCGCTGAATCTCAAAGATCGCTTGCGATTTTTCTCCCCCAACCCCTGACTTTTCGACGAAAAACGAAGCTGGTCAGAAAAGGAGGGAAACCTCGGGATACACCCCAATGGGGCTTCGGACGCACCCCTATCGAGGATGGACGCCCCCAATCGAATATCCCAGGGTTGGGCCCAAATGTTTGTCGTCCACTCGAAGGCTCCACGAAGCCTATGCTAGGGGTCGACAGATCCCCCGTTATCCTCCAGAGCCGACGGATCTCAGAGAGTCCGTCCAGATTCACCGGACGGAAGTCTGTAGTTTTGCTCCCGCCCCCCCCTGTTTCTCTCGGCGGGGAACAATCTCGCTCCTTCTCCTCCTCCTTCCTCCTCCTCCTCCTCCTCCTCTTCCTCCTCCTCCTCCTCCTTCTCCCTCTCCTCCTCTACCCCCTCCACTTCCTCCTCCTCCTCCTTCTCCTCCTCCTCCTCCTCCTTCCCTCCCTCCTCCTCCCCCCCTCCCCCTCCTCCTGCTCCTTCTCCTCGTCATCCTGCTCCTCCTCGTGGTCATCATTGCAGTCGCCGTCGTCGCCGGGGGGGTCGACCAAATTCGTTTCCGTCACTGGAGGGGGGGGGGGAGAGGGGCGTTCTGAATCACTCCCGCGGCGATTCTCACCCGAGGCTGTCCTCGCCCTGGCTTCGCCCGGGAGAGGGGGACGGACGTCGACGCCCTGCGCGCGGGGCGGTCGCCTCTGCCTCCCGCTGCGCGTGCGGGGCGTGCCTCCGGGGGGCTCTCCGAGAGGGGCGCGGCCCTGCGCGCGCCCCCCCGCGGCACCTGGGCGGGGCGACCTGCTCGCAGGCAGCGCGGCATTTTGGTTGGCTCCTCCTCCTCCTCCTCCTCCTGCTCCTCCTCCCTCCTCCTCCTCTCCTCCTCCTCCTCCTCCTCCTCCTCCTCCTCCTCCTCCTCCTCCTCCTCTTCCTCCTCCTCCTCCTCCTCCGGCCCCGAGAAGGGATCCACCGACAAGGGTAGGGGAACAAAAGGTGGCATAAACACAATTATCCCGGCAAAGCAACCTAACAGCGATGTGTATAAGCATATTTGGAAGCATTCCCCTTGAGATTCAGGTGAGAATCCAGTTGTAGAATTCTGCTGTTCTCGCAGTCGGAGTCGCATTCGCAATGACAGTCGCAGTGGCAACGGCCTTAGGATCCAATGGAATCCTAAGGATTCCTATGGATTCCTAAGGCATCCTTAGGCATCCTTAGGAATCCATCGGAATCCGTAGGAATCCTTAGGAATCCTGATTCCTAGGGATTCCTGGGGATTCCTAAGGATTCCTAAGGATTCCTGAGGATGCTTAACTATGCCTACGGATTCCTAAGGATGCCTACGGATTCCTAAGGATTCCTAGGGATTCCTAAGGATTCCTATGGATTCCTACGGATGCTTCAGCCTGCCTCAGTTTCAGTCTCAGCCTCAGCCTGCCTCGGCTTGCCTCAGGCCTCAGCCTCAGCCTCAGCCTGCCTCGGCCTCAGCCTCAGCCTGCCTCAGCCTCAGCCTCAGCCTCAGCCTGCCTCGGCCTCAGCCTGCGTCAGCCTCAGCCTCAGCCTGCCTCGGCTTGCCTGAGCCTCAGCCTCAGCCTGCCTCGGCCTCAGCCTGCCTCGGGCTCAGCATGCCTCAGCCTCCCCTTCTCCCCCCCCCTTCCCCCCCCCTCCCCCCCATTCAGCCTCACTTTGTCTCAGCTTCGGCCTGCCTCGGCCTCATCCTCAGCCTCAGCCTCAGTCTCAGCCTCAGTCTGTCTCGGCCTGAGCCTGCCTCGGCCTCAGCCTCAGCCTGCCTCAATCTCAGCCTGCCTCAGCCTCAGCCTCAGCCTGTCTCAGCCTCAGCCTGCCTCAGCATCAGCCCCAGCCTCAGCCTCAGCCTGCCTCGGCTTGCCTTGGCCTCAGTCTCAGCCTGCCTCGGCCTCAGCCTCAGCCTCAGCCTGCCTCAGCCTCAGCCTCAGCCTGCCTCAGCCTCAGCCTGCATCAGCCTCAGCCTCAACCTGCCTCAGCCGCAGCTTGCCTCAGCCTCAGCCACAGCCTCAGCCTCAGCCTGCCTCAGCCACAGCCTCAGCCTCAGCCTGCCTCGGCTTGCCTCAGCCTCAGCCTCAGCCTGCCTCAGCCTCAGCGTCAGCCTCTCAGCCTCAGCCTGCATCAGCCTCAGCCTCAGCCTCAGCCTGTCTTAGCCTCAGTCTCAGCCTGCCTCAGCCTCAGCCTGCCTCAGCCTCAGCCTCAGCCTGCGTCGGCCTCAGCCTACGTCAGCCTCAGCCTCAGCCTGCCTCAGCCTCAACCTGCCTCAGCCTCAGCCTCGGCCTGCCTCGGCGTGCCTCAGCCTCATCCTCAGCCTGCCTCGGCCTCAGCCTGCCTCGGCCTCAGCCTGCCTCAGCCCGGGCATTCAAAATATGGCCCAGGACTGGTGTTCTGGGAGCACGAAGATCGCGAAGTGGCCCACAGTTGGCTCCGGGCATTCAAAATATGGTACAGGAATTGTGTTCTGGGAACACGAAGAACACGAAGTGGCCTACAGTTGGCTCCAGACATTCAAAATGTGGCCTGGGAATGGTGTTCTGGGAACACGCGTGGAACACGAAGTGGCCTACAGCTGACTCTGGGCATTCAAAATGTGGCCTGGGAATGGTGTTCTGGGAAGACGAAGAACACGAAGTGGCCTACAGTTGGGCTCCGGGCGTTCAAAATGTGGCCTGGGAATGGTGTTCTGGGAACACGAAGAACACGAAGTGGCCTACAGTTGGCTCCGGGCATTCAAAATGTGGCCTGGGAATGGTGTTCTGGGGAGTCCCCGGATCCTCCCTGGCACCCGCCCAGACCCCCCTGGGGAGTCCCGGGGAGTCCCCGGATTCTCCCCGGCACCCGCCCAGACCCCCCTGGGGAGTTTTCGCTGTTAGGTAAAAACTCGGAGGTCCGAGCCAGGGGCGGCGCCGGAGGCGCAGCCGGGGGGGCCCAGCGCCGATCCAGGAAATCCGCGCGGACCTCCGAGTTTTATGTTTTTGCCACTTTCTGTTCCCCTAAAGGGGGTGGTGCCACAGATCTGGTGCAGTCCATTCGTGGGGCTGCAGTAGATTTGGGGCGTGCCAATACATTCGGGCGCGCAGATGTCTTGCAAGGGGCCGCCGCGCGCAGTGCACGAGGTGCAGGGCAGTGCAGAGCAATGCTCGTGGGCAGTGGTGCAATGCACTTGCCCCGCACCTGCTGCACCAACCCCTTTCAGCTGGACCCCCTGTTGGGCCAACCAGCAGCATGCTGCAGCCATGGCGCTGACGTGCACGGGGCAGCCGAGCCCAGGGTCGAATCGATGAGTAGCGTCGGCGATCGAGATGGATCGGCTCGGCGGGAATCGGCAGACGCCGGGTCGGCGGAAATCCTGCAGGGCTCCTTTCGACTCCCCCGATGCGGTTCGGTTCGGTCCAGGTGGCTGCCGATTCCGGGTCGATTCGGATTGGGGTCTCGCTCCGGAGGCCGACTTCTCGGTGGAGGCCTGCTGGCCTGCCGATGTCCGCCGATTCGACGGCTCCCGGTTTGGCTACCGTTATGTCGGGCGTGTCCCCCCACAGTGGGATTTTCGACGAACAACGAAAAATACCCCAAACATACCCCCCCAAAGGCAAAACATACCCCAAACATAGTCCCAGACTACCTTTGGACTATTTGTTTGATTATTTTTGGGATATTTTTTATTTTTCGTCGAAGCGATCCATGTGGAGCACCGATCCGGCTTGCCGATTCGATTTGGGCTCTCCTGCGCTGGGCGGGGCGACCGCTCGCAGGCAGGGCAGCGTGCTACAGCCATGGCGCTCTCAAGTACACCCATGACAGCTCTATACGAAAGAGCATCTACTTCCCTGGACTCCAGATGCCGTTGAAGAGAATGAAGAGTCTGGGCTGGACCTCGGGTGTCTTCGTGGAGCTCCCTTTTCTCTTGCAGTGTTCGTAGATCTGGACCTGGACTATTGTTCGAGACTTGGCCTGAGAGTGTTTGGAATCTAAGCAGGGGTGTAAAGTTCAACTCGGGTGCGAAAGGTGGTCGGTGGTTCTTTGGGTCTGCTTGCGTTTTTCTCGGTTTTGCCGGGCAGCCCGTTCCTCAGGCTTCGGCACAGGGAGGGGCCGCTTCCAAAACGAGGGGCAACGACGAGGGAACGGCTCCAACAAGGGGCTTGGCCGTTCCTTAGAAATGAAAGCTTGAGTTTGTTTTCAAAGGGGCGTGGTTTCTTTCTTCCTTCTGGCACTACCGTGACTGTACAGCCAAGGCGCTGAATTACGGCGTGGGTGTTCGTTAAGGAATGTGCCCAGGCGGCTTCAGAGCTTGAATGGTTCCTTGTCTGATGAGGGTGACGATGAAATCCATGGCCAAGCCTCAGTTGGTGCTCCTCTGGCTTCCAGATCCTGGATTCTTTAGTGCCTTTTTCCAGTAATCTTGCCGACAGGACCATTTTAGTCTCAGGAGGTTGGAGCCGGCTGAGGGTCTGAGGTTGCCCAGCATTGGTTCCGGCCAGCAGCAGGAATGGGGGGGAAGAGGTTCGACGTTCTGCGGTGGGAAGCGTGTTTTTACTCTTCGGCCTCCGGGGGCCGTCTCCGGAACCCAGGACTGCCACAAGCTGATCCAGGATGAAACAGATTGCACAGTCGGGGCCCTGAAGAAGGAACCCTTTTCGTTGGGGAGGGGCTCCGCGTTCCTTAGTTGCTTCACAGTTTGCCTCGGGTTTTCCTTATGTTTTCGAAGGGAAATCGACGTTTAACCCATGGAAAAAAGGGGCCTCGTTCCTTATTTAGGGTTCCTTAGGTCAACGCCCCCCGACTGTAAAACATATTGCACCACATGGGCCCCGGGATGGGTTCGGGGACCGACTCTGAGCGGTCAGGCCCTCCTCCCCCCCCGGCGGGGCCCACCCAGCGCAAGACCGCCCGGCCGCCTCCAGAGGCCAGGACTGACGGGCCTGTTTTCCACCACCACCACCACCAGAAGTTGGAGGGGGGAAGGAGGTGGAGGACGGAGGAGGAGGAGGAGGAGGAGGAGGAGGAGGCGGAGGAGGAGGAGGAGGAGGAGGAGGAGGCGGAGGAGGAGGAGGAGGAGGCGGCGGAGGAGGAGGACCCCCTTCCCCTCCTGCTTCTGGTGGCGGCGATGGCAAACGCTCCCACGAATCAGCGTCCCCAATCTCCGGCGCCACCGACGACTGGAAGAGGGGACGCCGACGCTGACGCCGCGTCGGCGTCCCGAGGCTGCCCCCGCGAGGTGCAGCGCGGCCCCCGGGGAGACGCCGCCGCGCCGCGCCCCCCCCCCAAAATCACCACGCATGGGCTCCCGACCGCAGGCGCCGTGGCCGAGCCGCGCCCCGAGGCCGAGGCGCGCCGTGGCCTCTACCGAGGCCCTCCGCGGTGGGCTCGGCGTTGGAGCTCGCTGAGGGGCAGCGAACGCGATTTGTGTTTCTGGGGCGACGGGGGAGAGGGCAGTGCTGTTGTAGGGCAAGAGCAAGCTCGAGCAGCCCAATCGTCGGCAAGAGCAGACCTGAAATCAGAGCTTCTCGCGAAGGGCGGCTGTAAGGATTGCCGTTGACCGATCAAGCGCGCCCGCCGAGCATACGGGGATCTGGCCCTGGAAACAACGCTGCCCCCCCAGCGACCTTCAAGCTCGGCGTTGGATTTTAAGTCGGGTGTGCCCCTCGACAGGAGGGGCACTCAAAACTGAAAAAATAGCCAGGGGACGACGTTTCGACGGCTGTCGACGTGTGTTTGAATATGTTGTTGATGTTTTACGTTGTTCCTCGAAGGTCCGCCTGTAGGAGGACATGCCCGACCTAGGCGTTGGAGTTAGCTGGGGGGCTCATGAGGAACATTCAAACAGAAAACTAGTCTGGGGACGTCTTTTCGACTGCTTTGGACTGTGTTTGAGTGTTTTTTAATGTTTTGACATTTTGTCCTCGAAAGTCCGCCTGTGGGAGGAGGACATGCCCGAACTCAGCGTTGGAGCTGGCTGGGGGGCAGAGGTGGCGCACCACTCCTGGCCAGCAGGGCGGGGGGGAGCACAGAGGGCCCCCTCGTTGCCACGGCCGGGCGTGGCTCGAACGGCTGGGCCGCTCCGGCCCCGCGAGGGGGTTTGGCGGAGCAGTTTTGAGCGCGTGTGCCTTCATCCCCCTCCAGACCGATATGATCAGGGCTTCATCCCCAGGTCGCCTCCAGACTGAGCGCCCCTTACACTGTAGCGCGATGGCTGTACCACCCTGACATCCTTTCTGGATCCTCGATCGGTCGATCTCGATCTCCGATCCTCGCCCTTTCGCGAGGTGCATCGGACCGGGTGATTCACTGACTGGCTGACTGACTGATCGCACCCGTATGGTGGCCTTCATTCTCGGCCGCCACGTGCGCAACCAATGGCGCAGCCTGTAGCAGGCCGTCTTGTGGTCGGCCGCCGAGCTGTGGCACAACCCATGGCGCAGCGCGCATGCCATTGGTTGCGCAACCCATGGATCGCGCGGCCCGTGGCGCGCCACATGGGTGTCGCACGCCCTCTACAGGCCCACGCACGATGGATGCTCGCTGATCGGGCTGGTGGTGGGGCCCCAGCAGCGAGCGAACCTTTGATGCTGTTGTGTTGGGTCGTGCGGCCAAGGACGTGCTGCTGTCCGCGTCCGCGGACCCGAGCGAGCAGATCGCGGCGCCCATGATCGACACCTCGAATTTGGTGAAAGGCGTGCCATTCGCGGGGGAGAATGCCCCGCGGTACGCGCCCCAGACCACCGCATCCGAGGACGACCTGCTCTTCAGAGGCAACAATGGCATCAACGTGCTGGAGCTCTGGGCAGAAAAGCTTACGCCAGGGGCGCAGAGTACAGATAGATCAGAAGACTGCAATAGACTGGACCGGATTGGAGTGGGCCTATTCCGCTCTACTCCACTGCACTCCAGTCGACCCCACTCTGTTCTACCATCTACACGACTATACCCTGGTCGATTCTGTTCTAGTCGACCCTGCCCTATTATGTTCTACGCTGTTATATCACGTTATACTCCTATTCGACTCTACTCTGACCCTATTCTGCCGACTCCACTCGCGCACCTACCATACTCTGTTCTACTCTGCTCTACTCGACCCTAGTCGGCCCTACCCTACCCCATTCTAGTGTACTCTACTGGGTTGTGTTATACTCCGAGTCTGCTCGATCGGTTTAATCGGCCCTACTTTGCTCTACCCTGCCCACCCGAACCCGCTCGATTCTGCTTCACGCAGCCCTTACCCAACATTTCCTAATCTTACTCCACTCTACAAAACCCTCTGACCATCTGCTCTAACACACTACGTCCAATCTGCGCTACCCATCACGAGGCACTTTGCTATAATCGACCGTGCCACACCCTACTCTACCCTGATGTAATATATTGTACCATATTCTGCCCACACTCTACTCTGTTCTTACTCTACGCACGTCCACTCTATGCTATTGTCCTCAGCCCTACTTTACACTGTTCTGATTTACTCGACTCGTTGACTCTTCTCTGCCGTAATATGTTTAGACGATTGTACACACTTGATTCTAATATATACCCTACTACTCTACTATATAATCTTCTACCCTACTCTTCCCTACCATTACTCGACTCTGCTCTACTCTACTCGACTCCTACTGAACCCTCCTCTAAC